TCATAATAGTAAAAGTAGTCACAATTTTGATATTTTTTGCAAAAATATTTGTTTCTGTATTTATTACAATATTTCTAAATTATAATTATTTAAACTAATTCTAAAAACCAAATTTTATTTAATTAGCACAATTAAAGAGAAAAAAATACTTTTAAAAGGTTACAACCTTTCCAGCTGTATCACAGAGTTGCAAACGAATTGGTTGATTGTCTACTTTCACCAGAACTGTAATTAGCAATTTGTGCACAAAATTATTGATACATTTTTATATTAATAAATAAAATATATTACTATCTCTAATAATACTTTTATTTGTATATATTTAATTTTGTAATCTCAGAAATGAAACAATTTGAAGTAGTACTGCGAGGGATATAAAGGATAAGGCATGCAAACCGAGAATTTATTATTGTTTAATTATATTTTAAATTTAAACCTTTTCTAAAATATTTTGAAAATGAATTTAAATTATAAAAGTAATTTAAAAAATATCAAAAATGTAACAAAAAAAAAGAATTGGAATAATGTTAAAAAATATTCGCAAAACAGATGCGAAATATTGAAAAAGCATCAGAATATGTTGAAAATGTGCACAGATATTAAGTAATATTCACAATTAAGTGACACAAACAATCTTAATTTAAGACAGAATTCGACATACAACTGAAAATTTCTGTTCGTTTAGGATTGAATTTTAATTTCGGAACTAAAAAGTTAACAAACCTGAATAATTATCGAACGCTGTAGGTACATACTGCTTGGGGTAACCGTTCGTTGTATACGAAACAATTAGTGATGTCTTGCCAACGGCTGCATCGCCGATTAGAACACACTTTAAGTCTCGAATATTTTCGCCGTCACGTGGCGGATCCATTCCCACCCTGACCATTGAGATTTAGATAAACGTGAAGTGTTACTTCTTTGAATGACCTTCCTTAGCCTTAACTAAACTTACAAATTATTCAACAAATCATTTAAAATTTTATGAATTCATTTGCTATATGTACACAAAAATCTTTGTACATTTACTTCAAAAATAAAGTTTTTGAACTGTTTTACCCGAAATACTGCCATATAAGTTGATGTAAAATATATAATTAACTTTTAAAAGTCAAAATTTGCAATGAAGTTTTTTAAACAGTTATTTTATTTTGTATGAAAAAAATTACTGTATGAATTACAATCAGATGTGGAAAATTATCCAAAAAAAGAGTACTATTTCGAAAAATGATGTAAAATGTAGGCTTTTGTGAAGTATTGGGAGAATGTAAGAATCAGATGATCACAGATGGAAATCAGTAATGTTTTAAAAATCATTGCTTACTCTTTTTTTGACCAAAAAATGCTAATTTTTTATTATCAAATAAAAATATTACTCATATTATTTGCGAATTTCTCCCACATTCAAATAAATATGATTGCAAGTAATTAAAAATAATTAATACAAATTAATTGAATTTCAGTTTTTCTGTTAATTATTAAAATACAAATATAATAAAATTTTGTAATTTAGAATGTAAGAAATGATTTGTAAAGAATTAAGAAGATAAAATGATATGCAAATTGTATGCACAAATGATGGAGGGAAGATGCATGAGAATAAGAGTATGCACATTACATATCTTGCTTCAAATCTTAATACTTGGATAAAATTTGAAAAATATTTTAGATGATCAAAGCATATTTGCATGCATGAATGCCAGCCAATCTGTTCAAATCTTATTCCTTTTTCAGACTTATTTTTAAGCATTATTTTATGAAAAAATTGTTATCTAGCAAGCTATTCGGGCGAACAATCAAACATCTTTGCTGCAAAAAGTAAAGCATTTGCACAAATTTGCATAATATATTAGTTAAACAAATTATTGATCTGAAAACATTCATATTTTATACATTTTTTGTAATCAAAATAAGCAGTATTGATAGTAATGCTATGGTATATTAAATTTATGATGTGTTCCACATGGTATAAAATTATATTACAAGAATATAGAAGGTTATCATGATATCAAAGGTTAGTTATACAAGGATATAAAAGGTTAGTTTTACACGATACATTGGATATGATTAAATTTTGATAAATCTTAGCGATCTATTTTTCTTGAAGATCAAAATTTGTGCAATACGACACTCTTATACAGCAAACATATCTATTTCTTACACAACACAATATATTATATAAAATACAAGTTAGTATATTCAATATGTAATTATTTAAATGAAGACCTTAGACTGTTAATTGGACATGACATGACATGGCATATTTTATTGTATTCTACAGTGAACAGAATTTTGTGACGTTTTGTGGCATTAGATAGATATACTGTCATTTTGTATGGTCTAATACAGTAACAACGCAGATGCTATTACTAAGCCAAGTATTGTGATTATAATAAGCTAAGTATTGTGATACTTTTGCAATGAATAAAAACGAGCGTGAAAACATTACTGTAAATTGTTATTACAGCGTGTAATCGTATCATAAATAGCACTGGCATAAGTAAGTACTGAGAAGGGAGTTTACAAATAAATAAATAAATAAATA